GACTTTTAAAAGAGTTAAGAATCACTCTAGACTGAAAACTACTCAACTCCACAGGGGGTCTTTATACAGAAGACTCCAAGATGAATTAAGTAGTGTGTCAAAGTGTTTCTGAGATGAACCAATCTGATGTTTATTTTGCTATACTTCTCCCAATGTAAAATTTCAAGAAAAATGAACAGCAGCACAACAATTCCAACTGAAAAATCACTTCCAACATCAAGGCAAGGAGGCAGGGAAAGATGAAAACCTGTGATTAAAATATTTCTGAAGTGTTAGGTGTAAATCTTTGAGTATGTCTTTCATGGACAATGTAAAGAGGAATACGCTACAAGAGAAGGAAGCTCAAAATACTTAAATAACAATCTTCTCTATTTATTAGGATCTGTGGTTTTGGTATGCAAATTACAAACAATACAATAAAGAGACTAGGCCTACTTACTCAGAGACCAGAACTTTGCTCTGTAGATAAAAGCAATGCATATGTGTTAAATCCAGTTTTTCCACTTTCCAGACTTTTTTCTAATTTCAAACATGGTGTTCATTTCAAAGATCTTAGTTATTACTGAAATGAAATAAAGTACATTAACATAAAAATGAAAATGTCTGGAGTCTTTCTGGATAGTAAGTTAAATAGCAGCTCGATTTAAACCAATTCTATTGGTGAAAAATAGTCATAACTGTTTTGTTTTGCTTGTTTATTAATAAACTTTTTAGGTACATTTTAAGTTCACACCAAAATTGAGCAGAAAGCACAGAGATTTCCCCTATATCCCCAATGCTTGTCTGTTTTTAACATTTGGCGGGATGAATTACCCAAGAAAAAGAAAGATAAGTACAAAGCAGAGGATATTAATCTCCATGGCCCCTGGCAAAGATGGAACTCTCTCCTGGATCACTGCATTCTACCACTACCAGGATCTAACCATGGCCAGTGGCTAGAATTAAGGGTATTTAACTTCTGTTGCTTAGCAGTTTGAGAGGCATGCAAAGAAATGTAGGTTGCAGAGGAGAAGGATATCAACACTCAGTATGCAGTTCTGACATTGACAATCACGTTCTTAAAGATTTTCTTTTAACGCTGGATTTACTTTATGACTCCACAAATAAGCCTATATGAAGATGTGAGGAGTATTTACATAATGTCAGGTTCACCAGATGCACATGCATGTAAAACCATAGGCTGCAATAAACATAAAAAAATACTACTAATCAGAGAAAAGAAAATTAAAGAGTAAGAACCCATTTCACACCCATCAGATTGGCAAAGGTTTCAAGGTATTGGTCATAATACCAAGTGGTGAAAAGAAATGGAGAAACAGGCTGATAAATGTAGCTGATGGGATACAAATTAGAACCACCTGTAATAGAGTAAAAAAATACACATGCACACCCTCCAATCCAGGCTTCCACTTCTAGGTCTATACCAAGAACACATTCACTGGCGATATATAAGTAACATAAAACATGGAAACCATCTATTGCAAGTAGACAAAAAAAGATTAAAGTTTGGGTGAAAAACTGGGAAATGTTCATCAATAGGGGAATGGATAAACTTACATAGTCATAAAAACTATTTAGCATTTAATATAAAGAACCACAGCTACGGCTAAAACCAAATATCATCCCCCTCCCAAAAAAACTCACCAAGTTTAATTTTTTTAAGTTGCAAAAGCACAGCATTTATATGAAATTTAAAAACACATCAAAACTATATATATTACTACAGATGCATACATACATAGCTAAAAGCATGGAAATATCAATTTGAATGAGTTGTATTAACTTCAGTTGACTATGTAGACTATGTAGACTGCACCTGAGCTTTGTGTTCCTGGAAAGCAGTGATGGTTAAGAAATCCAACCCCATCATTTTGAGTTTTGGGAAACTGGTAACAAAAAGATCCTGCCTTTGTTTATTGTGACAAGATCTGTCCATGCAGTTCCTCAAGACCCCTGGTTTTACTTGCCCCAGGTCCTTGTCCTTTTTTTTTTTTTTTGAGACGTTCCTTATTAATTAATGTTCTCCCAATTACAAAAGCCCGAAAATCACCTCCTTTAATTGGCCAGCACATTATGTCTTTGACACAGAAGTGGTTATCTCTGGGGGCAGAAGAGAATGGGATGAAGAAGATGATGCAGATTTAGTTGCAATGGTAACATAGAAACCTGAAATAGGACAAAGTTATTGTCTTTTTTCATACAAAGGGACCTGTTATTCTGTGTACCTTTCTGCTTAAAATGTTTCAAAATTAATTTGTAAATTATGTTAAAACGATGTGCAGTCAAAAAAGGTCACAAGTCAATCAATCCTTTACAGTCTTGTTTTTTCATGTTAAATAGGCACATGAACACATGCCCAACCTATTCCATTAGATTGCTGTAAGTAAAAGTGTTTTTCCTAATCATGGAGTGATAGAATACATTTGTAATTCATTCTGGGCCAATTAGCTCAGTTTGTTACAGCAGAGTTCTGACTAGGGCAGGGTTGAATTATCAGGTAGACTTTTATTATTTCAGGGGCAAGACTACACTCCTACTACTCCCAGAGAGCCATATAGTATGCTGTAAATGTCATATACCGTTGGTTACAAGAGGCACTAGGCAAGTCTATGTGTAATATCTCAATCCATACCCAACAAAAAGAACTACTGAGCAGATAACCCTAGGAACTTAATGGTAGACTTGTAAATAATCTTCTATGAGGAAACTGGCACACTCAGTACACACACACCAGTTTTGCTTGGAGTGGGTAGATGTGGTTCCTGTGGAGGACAGGCTTTTTTGGGGGGTGAGGGGTGGGGGAGGAACTGTAAAGTGAGATTCTGAAAACATGAAATCTCATCTTAAAGTGCTCAAAGGTGATCTTTTGAGTTGGTTTCAAATTGCTTTTAGTCCCAAATGCTTCCAGAAGGCTTGGTGAGTACGAGGAAATGATTTTGTTAATGCAGAACAAACCCATCAGCAGCTAAAAATCTTTTTTTCTGAGAAAGAACACCAAGGGGGGGGGGGGAGTGGCAGAGGGAGAGAGAGAATCTTAAGCAAGCTCATGCCCAGCACAGAGCCCAACTTGGGGCTGGATCTCACACCCCTGAGATCATGACTTCAGCTGAAATCAGGATTCATACTTAAGCAAATGAGCCACCCCTAAAATTTAACCTTAACAACAAAAAAAAACTTTAGAAACTTGGAACCTCAGTTTCAAATATAGAGGTGAAGTGCTAAAATCTGGGATAATAAGAGAATTTTGAATCTTCATAATAGCCGACATTGAAAGGAAATGTTCTGTGCTTATAAGGCTAAATACAAGAGTAACCTTTACAAATGGTCTATATTCTGAACTCTATTTGCAAGCATCCAAACAACAGGAGCTTGTAAGGTCTTCTTGACCTCCCTAAGGCCAACAAGTTTGAAAAATATCTGGAATTCACTCATCTTGATTAATTTTTAGTTCTCCTCCTCCCCCAAGAACCAGTAAATAAAACAGACCCTTCCTTCATTTTATTTGAATGCAGAGAAATATGGAAGCTAAGCTTGAACTAAAATTTAAGGATTTAACTAAAGTTAAAATGCTTGGTCCTGTTTTTCAAATAGAAGATAAAGTCTGCATTACAAAAACTCAAAAAAGAAGAATGTCAAATTAAAAGAACCTAAACAGGCTCCAGCCCATTTCAAAGCACTTTCATCAGAGTAGATGGTCTTAAGTTTATGAGAACTCAAAACCCTTAAGTCTTTTAATATAAGGCAGTATATACATTTATAATCTTACAGAGGTTTAAAAAAGTCTTAAGATGCTGCTCCTCTTTGTAGCTTACGGAATTAAACCAAGGAACAGAAAACTCAACACTATCAAATTCCTACTACATCTCCTTAGTCATCAAGAAACTACTGGTTAATCTTTTTCTTCCTTGCACTACCTTAAGAAAACCAAAACTGTCATTCAGCGAAAACATTTTGTATGTCAGTAAGCTGGTACGAACTGCTTCCAGGCAGACAGATGCAATAACAGTGTAACAGCAAAGTCTGCTAAGCCTTTGCCTGCAAATCATTGACCAAAAATGGTAACAGCGAGTGCAGACTAAAGAAAATGGCAAAATGTTCTACTTGATCGTCCAGTTAAGAGTACTATTGTACAGCAAATTAGAGACAGTTTAGAGGGGAAAATATGTAAATTAAGCCAAGTGTCCATCACCTAGAATATGAGCATATTTACTTTTAATGATTAGGATAATTCAATGAAAAAGCTTTTTCATTCGCTTTTATTAGCATCCCAGCATCATGCCCACTCCTCAGACGCTAAGTTCTGGCAGAGCCAAACTGTTCACAGGTAAAAGAAAATTTCTAACCATACATGGAGAGATCGGGTAGGGAAGGGTTAAAAGAGCCACTGCCAAGCGTGACAAGCACAGTGCTGCTGGAAGCTGATTGCCAGATACGACAGACAAAGCGGCTGCGAGGCCACCCTGTTCTTAATCATACCAGGGTCATGCTCGTGGTGATCATTCCGCACTCTAGGGTTGTTCAATAAAGGCTTTATTTTCCTTAATGAGATGGACCGACCTCAGGGGCCGAAACTCGCACGAGTCACGGACCGCCTCGGCGCCCGGCTTTGGGGAAACCGGCGCCAACAAGGCCCGCGCCGGATTCCGAAGCCCCCCATCCCGGGATGGCGGACTCCCGGTCGATTTCACCGAGGGTGTGGCGGTGCTCGGCCCTGGCAGGTCGTCCCCAGGCTACCGCGGGGACCATGCTCCCGCCGGCGGCCTCGCAGCAGCTGCGAGCGACGCAGCGGCCAGGAGCCGCCCCAGGAGCCTGGGTCCCAGGGGGTCCGCGAGCGGTGGAAGCCCAGAGACCTTCCCCTGCCTGCGGGCTGCAGCAGGGCCCGCGTCCCCCACCCCCGGGCGGGGGCGCGCCTGTTGCCCCTCAGCCCCGACCCCCACGGGGCCCCAGCGCCCAGCCGCCCAGGCCGCGTCAGCCCACGCCTCGGGCTCCCTCCCACTCACCATCTTCGTCGCGGCGGTCGCAGTGACGCGGGAGGGGGAGCTGGCCGGCGCCGAGTCTGCAGAGCGTCCTTCTCACGGCAGAGGGACCGAGAGACCCAGCGACCAGGCGACTCGAGGCGCGAGCCTACCAGGAGGCGGGTGCACGGGCGCGCGCCTCGGGCCCAAACGCGACTGCGCACGTCACGCGCTGCCTGCCGTTGCTACGCAACCGGCTGGCCAGGCAGCGCCCTGCCCAGAGAACAGGCGGAGGGTTTTGCCTCACGTTCGGAAGACTAGGGGACCGGGTCCTCCTCTCATCAGCTTGGGTCTGTGGGGGTGGGGCCTCCCTCATTTAGTAGGGACGAGGAGGCAGAGTTCGGGCTAGCACCTGCCGGCGAGGAACCCGCAAAAGATCAAGCGGGGCAGGGGACTCTTATCACTCCCCCACCACCACCTCGGGGGGGCGGGGGTATGTGGCGCCCCGCCCACTGCGCTGCTGCTGCCCTAACATGGAAGTAGCCACCTGGCCAGGTGTGCGCCGCGCTGGGGGCGGGGCCTGGGAGGGCGCGGGAGGGAGGGCGAGGGGGAAGGGAGGAAGGGGGAGAACGAGGGTAGGCGGCTTTCCCGGAGCAGGAGACCAGAGGGAGGACCGGGGGGAGTCCAGGCGCAGGCCGCGGCCCCGAGAACACATCCCGCATTTTTTACCTACTTTGGTGCGATTCCCGCCATCCTCCCCTGATTGGCCCAGCCCGGCACGTCGGGCCCTCGCGTGAGGGAAAAATCTGCCCATTTTTCCTTCTTCCCGAGGCGACTGTGGCCATTCAGAGTGCTCTGTGAGTCACCGCTAATTTCAGGTCTGGAAAAAACAAGGAGTGATTTATTTATCTTTGGGAACAGCCCGGGGAAGGAGGCCCGGCGGTCCGCAGGGGTGTGGCTGGGAAATGGTAGAGTTTTCCTGGGACGATGGCGCCAGCCCCGCCGCTCCGTTTTGGGGGCTTTTAATTTGGGGTTGGGTTTTTTTAATGGGCGGTTACATCAGAAACACAGTTTTGAGAGGGCCAAAAGGAATCCCAGTGTTTTTCCCGAGGGCGTTTTTGTGCGCAGTAAAGGGAACAGAAAGACTTTACAACTGGGATGATTACTTTTTAGGCTACCGAGAACATCACGGCCTCTACCAAAATTATTTTAATTATCCAAATGTGAGGCTTTGGGATAAGACTTATTTTTTTCTGGGCACTATATGAAATCTAGACTGTTGTGTGACTTTTGTTCTGCCCACTCAACGTAGAAACTTATTTCTCATTACCCGTGTCTTTTTTTTTTTTTTTTGCTATTATTTTCTAGAAAGGAAGTAAGTTGTGGCAATTCTAAGCCTTTACCACCTGCTACAAGACTTTTACAGGCTAGAGCAGTGCTCAAGCTCTCAAGCTTGAAGGAGAACTTGGTACAGTCAGATTTGTGTGTCCTGGCCCCTAGAATTTCTGACAGTATATCTAAGTTAAGACGCGATAATTTGCATTTCTAACAATTTCCAGGTGATGCTAATGCAGCTGGTTGGGCATAGCACTTTGAGAAGAAAGAACCCATCTGTATCCAACTGCAGCTGGAACCCTTTATTTCTCTTCCTGGGACTCAGTGGCCCCTCCACTTCTAAAGTCCTCAAAGACTTCCTTTCTAGTTCAAAGTCGAATGGAATCGTGCTCATTAACAGATACAAACCTGCCTGCTCTAGCCTCTCTTCTGCATTTCGTCCTCCACCCTGCCGCCAGTGTTACATCCAAACCTAAGAATCTAATCTTGTCACTTTCCTGCCTAAAATTTTCTAAGGCTTCCTAAACGGGTCATTCTGGTCCTTCTGCCTCTGGCCTCAGCCTGCCTTTTCTGCGCTGTCTCCCATATCTTCCAAAGTGCCCAATTTCCTTCCAGACTAAACTTCTCATTCCAGAACCCTTCTTACTCTTTCTAGCTGCCATAATTACGGACCTGTTAGTGTCTCAGGCTGGAATGTTCATATTACCCCTCCATTCTGAAGACCTCTGACCACTTCCCAAGGGATCATTAGTGGTTTCTTCTTTAATCCCACAGTTGATCACTTCTCAAATCCTGATAAGCATCCAGATCACCTGAGGATCTTGTTAAAATGCAGATTCAGGGACTTAGAGGCTAGGTCGAGTCCTCAACCCATACTTTGAGTAGTGAGTGAGGTCTTTTCCCTAATGTTAATGTAGCTTTGTAATTGTTTATATAAATTTGCCACCACCACCAGTTTAGACTGAGAGTTCTTCAAGGACAGGGGCTATTTAGGATGTACCTTATATGGACTGGCATAGTCCCTGATATATAATAGCCGTTTAATACACATTCAGTAAGTGAACCAAAATCTAAAGATGTTTTACAATTCATCAAGCAAACTTCTGTATCAGTTCATTGTAACCTATGAGGAGCCCCCATTTTTAAGAGTCCATTAAACTTTAACCTCTGCCTTTACACATAAATTTTCTAGATCTTTCTATTCCTTATACCACAGAGGGAAGACGTTTTGAAATAAGATCTCTCCTTATATATGAGATGGATGTATTCCATGTTAAAGTTAGAAAACATTTTTCATACTTCATCTGAACACATAGGCACTTTCATTTAAAACCAATAGTATGAGGGGCGCCTCGGTGGCTCAGTCAGTTGAACGACCAACCCTTGGTTTCTGCTCAGGTCATGGTCTTAGGGTGGTGAGATCAAGCCCCACAACGGGCTCTGCACTCAGCAGGGTGTCTGCTTGAGATTCTCGTGCTTGCTGGCTTTCTAAAATAAATCTTAAAAAAAAAAATAGAAAACCAATAATATGAGTGGCAAGGAAGAATAAATTATACAATAACGAGGAACTCGAAGAGAGATGTATGTTAATAGCCTGGAAAAAGCTCCCCCCCCCACAAGAGGACATAACCCTGTCAGTAAAACAGTGCAGGAAAACTATTTTTAGTTTCTCCCCTGCGTCCCTATAAATTCGCCTGTTCCCTCTCCCCTTGAGCACCCCTACTGTCTAATCTCATAGTCTTAGTTCCCTCCTCTGAGGAAAAGTCACTAATTGTTTTCCTCTATAGGTAACATGTTTTTTTCCTCTTTCAGAATTTTTAAAAATCCTTGATTTTCTGTAATTGTGAAAATGATATATCTAGGCATAATGTTTTGTTTTGTTTTGTTTTGCATTCATCCTGCCTGGTGTTCTCTTGAGTTTTCTGAGTGTGGTTTGGTTTGATGTATGACAATAATTTGGTGAAATTCTCATCACAGTTGTTGCACATAGTGTGTTCCTTTCTCTCTTCTAGTATTCCCATTTCATGTATGTTATACCTTTTATAGTTGTCCGACATTCCTTGGATATTCTGTTTTTTTCAGTCTTTGTTGTCTTTGCTTTTTGGTCTTGAGGATTCTGTTGATGTATATCCTCTAGCTCAGAGATTCCTTTCTCCTCCATGCCCAGTCTACTAATAAGCCCATGACAGGCATCCTTTCTGTGGCTTTTGTTTGTTTTGCCTTTTTGTATGCTTTCCAGTTTTTTCTTGATAGCTGGACATGATGCACTGGGTGAAAGGAACAGCAGTAAGTAGGCCTTTAGTGATGTGGTGAGGTTGGGGGAAGGGGGAAGGCATTCTAGAGTTCTGTGATTTGGTCTCATTTTCACTGAGCCTGTGTCTCAGGACTGTGCACTTCACAAGTGTTTCTCAGAAGCAACCCCCCAACCTCTCCCCTTCAATGGGACAAGATAGCTAGAGTGGGCTCCAGTTGAGTGTCTTCTTTCCCCCATCAGTTAGGCTCCGGTAACTAGTTTCCCCTCAGGGCAGGCCTTGTTAGGACAGAAGGCTCTGGTGTATTTCAAAATGGTTCCTTCCTTCTCCCCTCCCCGTACTGGAAGCAGGAGGGGATTTTTCTTTGACATTTACTGTGGGAACCTGGTAGAACTTCAGGAGGTGACACAGATATGCGGGGGTCCCCTATGACTGAGTCTCCCCAGAGTTCCTAACTCGCAGACTTGTCCACATTGAGGCTCCAGCAAGTCAGTTAAAGTTCAACTTTTCCTGCCCAGGCACTCATTCCCACGGTGGTTTCTACTTGTGAGTCTCTGCTCTGCTAAGCCACAACTCCTGCTATTGGCCTGTCTTGTCGACAGTTTTGGGCACGGCAGTTTGCCCAGTGTTCTCTCTCTCATGGATCCAAGAAGAGTTGTCTGTTCAGCTTTTTACTGGTTAGGACAGAGTGGCAGCTTCCAAGCTCTTCACATGTAGAACGGGGAAACCTGAAGTCTACCCCTTTCCTTTTAAAGAAACTTCCCAGAAGTGCCAGACAGAGCTCACACTTTTATCTCACTGACCGAATGCAGTATATGGCTGCAAAGGGAGACTGGGAAATGGGGTCTGTTCTTGGAGCAGCAATGTGCTCAGCTAAGAAATTGGGGTTCCTCTACCAGGGAAGAAGGGGAAAGTGGGTATAGGGAGATAACCAGCAGCAACTGCCATGGGTAGATATTATTATTTACTCCCATTCTACAGATGAGGTAAGGTGAAGAAATGTTCCTTAGGAACCCAGAGGAGTGAGTGATCTGCTCCCAAGCCCATGACCTTTCCTATCAGACCACATGACACATTAGTCCTATGTGATGCTCAGCAAAAAAGCTGAGGTATCTCTTGATGCGTCCTTAACACTGCAGAGTGGGTTTATACAAAACGAAGCAAATGGAAGCTGTTGAAAATACATTCTGGACATTCCTTTATTGTAGCTGGGTCCTCTTGGATTGGCAGCCCCGAGGGCCTAGACATCTATTTTAGGAAAGGGCTAAATATACTTAAGTATATTCATGGGAACAATGCAGTATCACATGTAACACTATTGATTTCTCTATTAGTCTTCATGGTAAAGTAAAAGTCATATACTGCTATTTTATAATATTAAAAATTGAACAACCAATACATGTTTTTAGTTACTAGTGTACCACTTGAATTAAACCATGAGAAAATGGAGTAGAAAGTGGCACAACACTCTTGACCAATGGTTATTTACTCTTCTTGGGCCATATGTTCGCTTTGAGGTTCTGATGAAAAGTATAGACCCTTTCTCTAGAAAAGTAGGTATTTGCTCCTACTCACAAAACATGGCTTACATTTTAAGGGAGCTTGTGGACTGTTCTG